GGCTCAAGTACGTAAATTTGATCAAAGAATTCGTATTGATATTTGTTGTTTCCTTATTTATCATTTTCTTTTATTGTTTAGTATTAAATTAGAATAGGAATATGTGTGGTATATCAATTTGCGAACAGAATGGTTTCGTATATTTCGTAAATGAATGTGAAGAGATTTTTCGTCACTAATTATCAGTATTCTCATAAAGGCAGCAGTTTTCATTCGAAACGCTGAGCAGAGGATGAAATTTTTAGAGATGTCGAATGAATCGCTCGACAGGTGTTGATTATTTGGAGCCGTTTGAACCAGGTGAGTTAGTCGATGGTTTGGAAGGAATTGGTGTCGTCGAAATGGCGTCTCCAGCGTCAGTTATTTGATTTCATTGCATGGTCTCTCTTCCTATATCTTGTCTGAATATACTCTCTTTATGTTGGCATCATGATTCATCGTAATATTTAAAGTAGTCAGTACACTGGTTATCACAAAATGGAATTTGAAATGAATTGATCGTGAGTAGCTATAGGAATCGCATTTAAGTGGTGTACAAATATGGCATTTTTCCTATTGTTTCGGAATCTATGCATAAGTTTTTATAGTGGCCAAGATGATAGAATGTCATCAATGAGGTGAATTAGTTGATTCGATGAATGTGTCGTATTTGATGGGAAATATAATTTCAGTTGTAACTTTGAAGTGGGTGACCTGGTGACTTCTGTCGGTCGATTATGGCCATGGAGTCGACTGTTTGTGGCTGATCACTCAGATCTGGTTAAGGTGAATCTATTATTGTTGTTGCTACTGTTAGTTTTTGTATTGTTTTTTGTATTGTTGAGTGTTCATTTGAATTATTGGAAGTATGAAGTGTGTTATGATTTTATTTGAATTTTATATATTGCTATTGGAAGTGATTTGAAATTTATATATTTGAAAATTTATATTGGTCTTTATTTGAAATGAAAATATTTGAAATTTGAAAATTTATATTGAAAGTGATTTGAAATTTATTTATTTTATATATTGCTATTATTGCTATTGATGTTATTATTGTTGTTATTGTGAATAATATAACATTATTGTTGTTTCGTTTTGTTTTTGCCACATTCATTTGTGCTGTTGTAGGTGAATTTGCCACGTGGTTACTCGCCGTCAATAATTCTGAGCTGTGTTGGTATATCAGGTATGACCGCGTTGTTGGGTATTCGCAAAAAAGCCGCAATCGATCCAACAAAACCGCAAACGATTGTCGTCTCAGGTGCGGCCGGATCGTGTGGATCTTTAGCTGGACAGGTTGGTATTTTCTCTTTCATGTTTCCAACTGAGAAACCTAATCTATTTTTGTGTGTGTTTTGTTTTGTGGAAGAAAATGTTTAATGTATTTTCATGGTGTACGGATGGAAATTTGAAGTTGTAGTTCGCATTTTCTGATCAGTGATGGATCGATTGAATCGTTTGATTGAGGATTCTCAGGAAATTGAATGAATTTTCAGATAGCTAGGTTAGATGGATGTACCAGAGTGGTGGGTATATGTGGAGCGCCAGAAAAATGCGAAGTTTTAATGAACGAGTTAGGCTTTGATGGTGCGATCAACTATAAAGCTGAATCGGTACCGGATCGATTGAGGACACTGGCACCTGACGGCGTTGATATTTACTTTGATAATGTCGGTGGTTTCGTCAGTGATGCGGTTATTGCACAGGTAATTGATTGTTCGGATCCTATGATGTTTAAGATCTTCATCTAGCGGTTTATATCCTTGGTATTGCATAATGCTTGCGAATCATATCTTTATTATTCGCGTCATACCTGATAAGTAAAGTTTGTTAACATTTTTTTGTGGATTTTGTGATCGTGTATTTCAAGACGGATTTCTGTGTGATATATTGTTCTGAATGTTTTTATTGGTAAGATGAGAGCTGCTTTTTAGATGAATCAAGGAGGTCGTGTGGTTTTATGCGGTCAGATTGCCGTGTACAATACGAATCTACCGTATCCGCCGCCGATACCCGAGAAGACTGCAGAGATTATCGCAGAACGAGGCATTCGAAGGTATAGTGCTTGGGTAAATTCGGTGATATTTCTTTTTTTCGAGTCTGAGTTAAGAATGCTTTTCTCCTTGTTATTGTTACTGAGAAAAAGATTTAGTGGAATTCGTAGT